CGGTGTATCCATATAAATGGCCCACCCTGTACATTTGGAGCTTAATGGCTTTAGGAAAACCAGTTTAACAATTAGATATAGAGAACAAGTATTAGGTCAGAAGGTTTTTTAAGCACATGCTGGATTTAAGGTAATTAAGGTAAAAGATTACATTTAGGGAACTTACATTCCGTCAGATTTAGGATGGATTCAGGGAACACATCTGCAAATTTAGACAGTTTATATTTTATCACTCAGACTGACAGATAATACATTTGTTTGACCAGATTGTGGGAATTGAGACGTGAACCGATGTAATTAGGAGACACGCAACTTGCCTGGAATAAGGGGAACACACACTTGATCAGACAAGCAATGTCCAACTATGAAGAACTCAAAAGGAGGTATAAAGATGTGGTCTTAATGCACAAATAAGATTTTGCAATTAACTTTAGAAAACTGGAGGTCCTTGGCTTTGACGTCTTGAGGTAAAGTTGTTGAGTTGTAAAAACAAGAAGTGTAAATATTCTGTTATTAGAAATATGTCTATCATCGTTATTGAGATTTATATTAACTCATTCACTGCCATTGACGTCTATAGCCGTCAATTGCAGTGAATGAGTCAATGGGTTTAACTCATTCACTGCCAATGGCTGGCAGTGAATGAGTTAAAAGGGAAGCTAGTGAAATATTAACTTGTGGAGAAGGGATGAGATTAAACTAAGCGTCCACTTCTTCTCATGCCTTTTCAATACTGATTCAGAATTAGTGAAATGATATTTGAGTGTTTTTTTTCTCATTTTCTTCTTCCTAAATGACTTTCTGTTTATTTGAAGAACATAACTTAAACATGGTTAGTGTAGTAGAATGGATAAGCAGATTTTGGGAACTTAATTAAGGAATTTTAGTCATTTTGTACCCATAAGGGGAACAAAATTACTAGCATGATTTGGAGGTGTAGCTCTGTAGTATAGCGGTTAATACTTTTGTTTAATGTAAAAGAGCTCCAGTTCGAGATTGGGAGAAGCCATAATCCCTGGGAGATGCTGTCAAGAAGCTGAGTAGTTTGATCTGATGAATATATAGTGATTCAGTTGGATTCTTTACCTGAAATAAAGAAAAAGCTAAAGTGGCTTTATATTACATGTCCTGGTAAACAGTTGTTTTCAGGTAACCAGAAATATGATTCTTTATATGTTTTATTTCTTTGGTAATGCATATTTCTGTCCAGCAAATAAGGTGCAGTTTGAAAAAGGGAATGAGAAGAAGGAAAAAAGAAATTCAAATTGAAGAAAGGTTTGAAGACTGCTGGTCCTGATGAGGTAGAAATGGTGAAGATGGAGGAAAAAAGAGGAAGAGGAGTACAGCAATTAAAGAATGCATCTCTGCTCATTGAAAACTACAAAGAAGGGAAGATTGGATGAGAGGGAGGCGAGGAAAAAGAGGAGAGAAAATACAAGTTGGGTGTGCAGAAGTTGAAAGATGTGGCGAAGGAAGAGAGAAGGAGGAGAGAAGGAGGAGAGAAGGAGGCGTCCATGTGTCCTGCACCTGATAAGGCTCCGATTGAGGGCTATAAATTACACAAGAGAGAGGGAGAGAATTTACACACAAGCAGGGAAACACACACTGAAAAGCACAGAAACATACAGCCCTAACCCTCCATTTCTCCCTCTCTCACACACACGCACACACAGTGCAGGTTATCTATCATCAGTTAATGAACTTAGACTGACAGACAGCTCCATGTCTCTCACACTGATCCTATTAAGACCTGCCTGACACAAAACAGACTCCTATTAATACAGTTACCCTATGTGTGTGTGTGTATATGAGTGTGAATGTGTGTGTGTATGAGTGTATATGAG